ACTTTAGTTAAAAACTCTACCAACCTTAAACCAAGTAATTTCAAATAAAGGTATAAAAGAAGCTTCAGAGGATAGGTTTTTACGGGTTCAAATATAGTTATGGGATGGTCGATAAATTAACTTAGGATTGGGTTAGTGGTTGTGAAAGATTTTACTGTCCTGACAGTGAGATGTACAAAATTCTATTTAGAATTTTTAAGAACTTTCGCTAACCAATTAACGAAAGATCAAACGTTTGGGAGTTTAACATTTGTAGATGCATCAAAAATAGCTACGAAGGATCAAAAAAAGGTATAAAGAGTCCTGTGTTACACATGAGACAAGAAAAGCTGAAGTCAGTGTCACACGTGTAAAGTCAACACCTCACGTGTGAAAGTCTATGAATGTCTTGAGTCATGAGAACGCAAGTGGGAGAGATTGTGCAAAGGTTTGGTTCAGCAAACAAGGAAGAGACATTTTGCAAAAGGCATGAGACAGACGCGGCGCACGAAGTCATAAGACAGGTGATATAGTGTTCTCTGTCACAATACAGTGGATAGTCTGCCAGTCCAAAGCAAGACTTCACTTATTATATTGGTAATTGGAAAACCAATATAATAGATGGTTTTGTGGTTTTCAGTAGTTAGTTCTTCTCACGCAAAAAAGTAGAGTAAGGTTGAGAGAGTGTACTCTTTGAAGAATTCAAGAACAAACTTAATTGATGTTTAGAGTTAACTGCTTCTTCTGCGTAGATTAGAAACTATTGAAGAACATGAATCTTGTTGTGGATGATTTCGTGAGTTCTTGGGTAGACTAGGTTGAGAGTTTTATCGCATCAGTGTATGATTGTGTAATATGTTCATCTTGCAACATGAGTTGTTTGTAGCAGTGCTATAGCTGTGTCAATGAAATTATTTTAAGTGTGTCTTAAATACTTCTTATTAATCTTAGTATATGTGGTTCTGTATCTAGTACTCATACTTTCACAACATTTACGATTTAGAGTGTCGGTTTTTTTGTCAACCAAAATATTAATTAAAAGATGTTGATTCAATTGGTAAATTAAGAAGAGGGAGAATAGCATATAAAAGAAATCAATAATTTTTAACATGTTGAATGTTTCAAACAATCCACTTTCAAATTAATAGAATGTAAGATCAAAGACAAAGAACATCGGAGAAAAAGGACGCGCAATCCTCTAACATTATATTATTATATGGATCACTTCTCAGGATACCAGAAGTTTTGAGTAGTTTACTTCAAAATTCTGGAAATTTAGCTTTTTCTCCAACATACAAAATATCGTCCAAAATATTTTTTTTTTATCTCCAACTACATTGGAAACATCTGACGTATGACTCCCAAAACAAGTAGACTCTTCTTCTTTTTTATGTCATCTAAGTATTTATAGATAAGCAGAAAGACAAAACGGAATAACGATTACAAGATTCACGACCTATTTAGTGTTTATTAGTTTTAGAATAAAATGGTCATCCCTTGCTATTAAAAGAGAAGTAAATTTATTAGATTTGCTTATTTGTTATAATTTCATTGGTTGAAAACTATGATGTGACTTGTAAAAAAAAATGACATGGCTTGTCAAAAAATATGACATGGCTTAAATTGAACTAATTTGAACTAATTAATTAAAATAATAAAACTAAAAAAATTCTTATTTGATTTANTTTTGCAAACTAATAAAACTAATTAAAATAATAAAACTAATTTGAAATACGTTATATTTTACTTTTCTTCTCAATTCCAATCAAATATTTGATTTTGCAAATTATTCGATTCAAGTTGCAATCTTTATAAACAATCATAAAAATTTTTTTTGATAAAGAAGAATCAAACAATCATAAAGCTAATAACATGAAACTATCAGAGGAGGAGATTCAGTATCAATGCTTCGTTCCAATTGTTCGGTGAATGAAATAACAGGAATCTCATACACGAAGAATATGTATGTGGTGGGAGCTAGAATCCTACAGAATTTGAATATTAAATCATTCGTTATAAG